AATGATGGAGTTATTGAGGGCGTTCCCCAGAATTGTTTTATTTTTTACTAACCAAACATTCAGTACCCAAGTTCCAAGCTTCACGCCTCAATACCTACGTCCTATTATCGTGAAACTCACCGTTTAGAGAATGAGATCATCAAGCGTTCCTAATCCATTAAGATTTTAAGAGATGAGAGAGAGATTTCGCGCATGAACTTCAAAGTAAACAGAGACATCAGTTGAGACAATTGTTGTAACATTCAAACGGATGTTTTAAGAATTTCCACCGTACCTGTTTCAAATGCAAGGGCTGCGACAAAGCCATCGATTCGACATTCTTCGTAGTTGATACACAACCGACGTGTCAGGACTGCTACCAGGTAGGCTTAGCTCGCTGGGTATCGTGTTTTTCCTTAAGAGATCTATCATTCCCATTGTTTTCAAATTAGGAAGCGGAATGAAACTATGAGCTTGCCCAGGTTGCACCATGTCTAAGAGACAAAGCTTCGATAAGCTAGGAACATGACGACAACAGTAAATCACGATAATAATAATTTGACGGGTGCAATCAAAGGTAATGAACGCGATCCATAAGACGGAGTGTTTCGGTATGTCATGTGGAGTGACTGGTGAAAGGGTGTTGAAAGTCCCCACGACCTCGGGACCTTCCACCAGTGACGTTATTCGAACGACTCCGCCTCTCAGCCATGACAGCCACTTCCTACAGAGACCTCGAAAGATCCATACCTCCAGAAACGCCATGACATGATGCTACTCCCACTTAGCGTGAGAATTGGTTGAAGGTGCTGTAATTTCCATATGCTCGAGGGCGTAGTTCGCTAGAACAAAAAGCGAATCACTCGCTTCTCGAGCGTGAGACATTTTTTCCTGTCGAAACTCCTGATCATGACTGGGTAGAGTTACCGGAGCAAAGTGTTGCGCGCTGAAAACAAAAAACCCGCTGTCTGTCCTAGCGAACCACACTGGGGTTCGGTGGTCAGCCAAGCAATGGCTGGCAGAGACGGTCAATATTCAGGGCAATTTCTTGTCCAGTCAAACATCTGGGGTAATATCTTGCAAATCCCGGGCGAACAAATGGCAAATGGAACGAATGGCTGTATTCTGATCTCCATCCTAAGATCTTTAGGATGATAGCACAAACCTTTACTATGATGCAACTGCCTTCCATTTACATTTACAGTTACTTGTCTTGCTGAGATAGTTATTCCTCTCAAAGTACTACAACGACACGATTATGTTTCAATGACTTTTTTTCAGAAATCTCTCCCTACATGCCACAAGTGCTCAGAGAAGATCAGCGAACAGCTTTTGAAAGCTCTAGGTTCCGATTTCCATCCGACCTGTTTCACTTGCGAGGAATGTAAAAAGGGGCTTAGCGGTGTGCCGTTCAATGTTGACAACGAAAACAAAGCCTACTGCACTAATTGCTTCATAGAGTAAGTGCGGTTTTCTTTGGGAAGTCAAAACCTGTTTCAGCAATATGGTGTTGTCTGTCCTAAAGCGCTATCTTCGTAGAAGCACCTGAACTCGAAAATTAACATATTGTAATTGTGGTGAATGCACCACGAGTAATGAATGGTTGAAAAAGTGATAAGTTTCCTTGAAGCAGCAACCCCAGATGAGGTCCTGTCGAAGAATCTGACCTGTCTATGGGATGAAGAAGCCTTCAAGTATCGCAGATGTATCGTTGTCACGGCGAAAGAGCGCGACAATGGCGCTAGGGCCTTACAAAGTGATATGAAGGCGACCAATACAAGCGCCATTACTCATCATTGCATTCCCACTACAATTGACATTTTTTGATCACTCATCGTCTTAAACTTTTCTTCCAAGACCTGCTGATAGGGTAGAAGCCTTAAAGGCAGCGATTAAGATAGGTTGGGCCTTTTTTTAGCCGTTGGTTTTCAGTTATGAACAGGCGACAGCTCAGAAAGCGGACGTATGAACGAGTTCACCGCAACGCGTTTGGTGGCACCATGCCAAACCACGCTCCAATCGAGTTGCTCCAGTTGTGCCGCTGCTGGCAACGCAGCTCGTCCAAATCACCAACTAAACTAGTGGGGATCGCTTTTGGGGGCGGAGTGCTTTCGAAGTCCTGCTCAGCAACCAGCGCACCTTTCGTCGTGAAAGCGCCACACCTCGCTTCTTTGGCAGCCAAGGAAACGAGGTGCAGCCCGCCACAAAAGCGTTCCGCTCACTAGTTTATTGGTGATTCGAATGAGCTGTATTGCCAGCAGTGGCATAACTCTCGACAAGAGCATGGTTCGGCATGGTAGTGCCAAATGCGCAGCGGTAAACTCGTCCATACGTCCCCTGCCTTCATCCAGTTTCATTACGGAATGCTCACAACCATATACCCCGCGTTTGTCTCCAAGCGTTCCGCCTTCGGAAACTAGCATCATCTGTGTTAGTAGGGTTGAAAGTTTAGAACAGATTGGGTATGCAGAAAGACCGAATAGTTTGAAAGACAAGGCATACTTAATGCAGAACTAGTCGAATACGTGCGCAAGCCGTCATAGTGACAGTCACAAATTGTAGCGATCAACAACCATTACCGGTCACCATCAAGAATTTCTAACTTCAGCAAGTTCGCTCCACGTTGCGATGTGTGCAACAAGCCGATCATAGCCAAGGAAGGAGAGAAGGAAGCGACACGATACCTAGCCATGGGCAGGTCATTCCATCCGGAATGCTTCAAATGCGAGGACTGTAGCAGCGTGTTATCCGCCTATGT